ACTTCCTGCGCGACTGTGTGCCGAAGATTACGCCTTCGTTCAAAGCAAAAGTTGAGGGACGGTCAGATTCGAGTAAATTGATGCACTTTCAAGCACATTCAGAAGAAAGGTGCCGGCGTTCCGGCTCTGGCACGGATATTTCTGGATTACCATAAAACAGGCTTTGTCTAGACGCCCAGAGGCTGAGGTAAGGCAGAGAATGCAGCATTTCCCATCAGTGTCATCTGTCACGATCGCAGAGGCTTTTCCTCTAGCTCCGCTGTGGGAAACAGATCCGAACGGAAGAGCAGCTGTTGGACTTTCCCTCCGCGACATAACAGAGCAGAACATCATTCATCCTTCCTCACTGCAGAAGATGCGTCTGTGAAAGCTCTTATCAAATAAATGAAGATGCAGGAATTGTTTTAAACATCGGAGCGCCATAACTTTAACTCCATATGTCCTGAATCCAATGAATGATCGGCACATTCATGAACAGATGGTTTTATTTGCTTTCATTTTCTGCAACCCGACACCAAAATTCGTGGAATAAATAAAGTTTTGTGTGATTTGAACGCACTAGAATGAGTAGTGACAGGTTTTCAGATTTAGCCTATATAAAGCTATATATATATATATTATTATTATTTTTTTTTTACAGGGTTGATTTTGGACTTTGATGGTAACACTTCAATGAGTTAACATGAACTAACACTGAAAAATACTTCTACAGCATTATTAATCTTTGTTAGTTAAAACCAAAATGTGCTACCTGGTGTTAACCTGTTAATATTACTTTATTAATATTATTTAATAAACCTCAACTGACATGAAATAACAATGAACATTTTTTGTTAATTGAATAATGTTAGCAAATATTTAAAAATACTGTAATAAATGTATAGCTCATTGTAAGTTAACTAATGGGACCTTATCGTGAAGTGTTACCAAATTAACTATATATTTTTTTCTATAAATCAAAATGTATTTTTCTTACAATAATGATGGTGGAATTTGATGAATACAGTCAACACTACAAATTGTAAAAGAAAGAATAATAAATACATACATACATAAATACATAAATAAGTATTTAAGTAAGTTTTCCTGTCATGTCGAAATGATGTAATTTCTTGGGTGTCACTTTTTTAATGCAATAAAATTACGCAATAACAGGGATCAGCGCAAAACACTGGGCACTGCTAAATGATACATTTTGGAAATTAAAATGAGTTAATAACTAATAAAGTTCTTAATACAAGGAATAAATATTAATGCAACTGACTATATAAAAACTGACAATGTTGCATGATTTAGGATCATTGCTGGACACAGATGAGAAAGTGAAGACTGGCCAAAATCACCATTTTAAGGGTAAAACAGACATTTGATGTTTTTGAAACAAGTTACTCTTCATGCTATTGGCTTATGAAATATGAGCTAGTTCTCAGGACAGGATCGTGGGGTCGGTGCCTGCGGCGCTGTAACGTCAGCGCTGATGATATTCTCCGGCTGACTGTGTGAGTGGACGTCAAATGGACACCAGGTCACAGCACATTGAACTAAATGAATTCAGTTAATCTCTCTGATGTTTCTCCATCCCTGGAGCCAAATTCTGACGCTAATGTTCCCCCTCAGGGTCATTTAAAGGCCTTTCAGTTCCGCCATGCCTAGTGGCACTTTACTTCTCCAGAGCCCTCTGCTTTATCCTGAATCCTGCAAGCAAAAGCCATGTCTGGTCTTATAGCTCTGATGCATCGATTTCCTCTGTCTTTACCAGAGTCGTGCATGAATTTTACAGCATCATATAATGTTGAAAAGAAAATTATGTCGTTATTTATGCATCTAATGTCCCATTGTTGGTGTTCTGTTACAAAAAAAAAAACACACCATAAAAGTAAAATACAAGCATCATAACTTTAGTCCACATTTCTTCTCCATTTAAGAGCTTCTGACCCGAAAATGACCCACATTTACGTTTTCACTCATTTATTATAATTTCTAACATCATATTTGCGTATGCACATCAGGTTTTGAATATGGCCACAGAAAAGCTATTTTAATGGAAAAGAGCATCTCACACGTGTTCGAAATAGCATGATGGTGAGTAGATGGCGAAAGGGTGCTCAACTGAGGTGAACTATTTGGTTAAATGCATTTCTCTGGAACATTTCTCGGCCACCAGCAACGTTTGTGCTTCTCCAGCATGGAGATCTTTTGTTTTCTTTGATGCAGAATGCATTGTGCCCGTGACCTTGTTGGCAAATATGGGCCTGAAATCCCTGGCCAGTCTGTGAAAGGACCGAATGCATTGGTCCCAGTTCAGTGGGTGCATTCATGAATAAGACATGACCCATATCCCCACACAACACAAGCACGGCCGATTGAACACCACATTTTTAGAGGAAGAAAAGTATGTCGGGGCTTAACCGAGGCAAAGACGCTTTAATGCAAAGCTTGTTTTTGATGCTCGTGCAGTCTGCCGCAGCCTGATATCTTACGGCGGAATATGTATTAGTTTTGTGTCATTATTCATGCTCAAACGATGCTGCTTGCCCACTGGCTGAATGTGCAGTAATTACTACAACTCCGCTTCCTTCATTTATATTAATGGATAAATATTTGTTTAGGGCTTCCTGTTCGTAATTATAACATTTCTATTTAGACCGTCATTCCAGGTGAGGCTTGGAGAGAACAGCACACGACTCGTACTCATACTGCATTTATAGAGTATATACTGCTGTAGTGTGTGAGTTCAGACGAGACACCGCAGACTCTCTGTGTGCAATACTCAATCACACAGCGCTTTGTGCTCCACTCGACCTTCCATTCCAGTGTGACGAACGAGCCGCCAGTCGTTTTTAATCTTCCTTGACTCATTATTGGATTGGAGAGCCCGAGTTAAGACGTTTTACATAAAATTTGATAAAGGTAAAATAATCACATTTATTCCCACGATGATAACTTCACATGTAATCTTTACAAAAAAAAAATCTCATTTTGAAGGAAAATAAAAAGAAGCAATTTATTTAGTTTTAATGACTTGAATTGCAATTAATATATATTTTATCTCCAGGTTGTTAGGTAAAAGTTAATGTCAGATAGTGAAACTCTCGCGATTGGTCATACGCCACTAGTTATAAAATAAAACATCACTGAAGTAAAAAAAAAACAAACAATTATTTGAAATATGCAATTATTTCATCAAAGTATTTAGTTAAAGACTGTTCTTGAGCTAATCAATATATTTTAGTAAAACTATTTAATTACACATTGGCATTTGTTTTAAATGCATTTTATTGCTGACAGATATAATATGATATATAATATATTCAGTAACATTAATCACTGTTATTGTTAGTTAAAACCAAAACTTAAAAAAAGAGAAAAAAAAATATATAACAAAGTATATAAAAAAATAGCTGAATAAAATACAAATGTCAGATGAAAAACATGAATTTAAAATAAAATTAAAAATGTTGCCTTGGTAACTAACAGATATAAGCTGTACTTAAATTACTAAAACTAGTAATTAATTAACTATTAAATGAAACGATATACAAATGTTTAACAAATCTAATAAAAGTACTAAAACTTTTAACTAAATTAAATTAACAGCTATATACATATATATAAAAAAATTAATACAATTTCTAAAACTATTATTTTTTAAATAAATTAAATGAAATAAACCTACATACTTAATGTTAAAGCACATAAAATGACTAAGACTTCAATTTCAATTTAAACTAAAATTAGAATGAAAACTGAAAATATGAAAATAAAAGCTAATTCAAAATAATAAATACTATAAATAATAACAAAATATGAAATACTACACTTAATACTTAATAAATACTATACATAATATTAAAATAACACTGATATTAATAGTTCTGGAATCACTGATATTATGACACAATCTGGGTCAATATCATTGGTCTAAATAGTAAGGGGGGGCCAACTGTACATCTTTAATAAAGTAATAAACTGAATACTGTAATAAACGGCAGACACTGGCGTATGTTTCTCAGACCCACAGATGGCAGGGAAGTCTGAGAGTTATGAAGGACATGTTCTGCTGTATGTCCTGTAACATCGCCCTCGGTCTCCCCTGCTGTTCACATCATATCTGTACAGACAGCAGTATATACTGCAGTGTGCACTGAGTGCTGGACCTGTATTCTCAACATATCCAGAGAGATTCACAGACCTCCCCCCTGATTGAGTTCTGCTGCGGTGTGTGTGTGTGTGTGAGTGAGTGAGTGTGTGTGTGTGTGTGTGTGTGTGTGTGTTCTAAGCGCCACACTGCTATTGTGTTGCAGGTTTTATCAGGCCTGAGCTGCAAACAGCAATACTCTCCCTCCAACAACAGATGTGGCCACAAAGGAGCGAGGAGGGAGAAAGCAGAGGGAAAATGTTTTGCCAATAACCATGCTAATGTTTGGAGGTGGAAAGCATATTCTTCTCTTGCATTTCTCCCATTTTAGGTCTGGCAGATTCTTTCTCACACCAACCAGATAGAAACTGGCAAGGACTGTTTTGTTTAGTAGCTGCGTTTCATCATTTCATTAAAAGATAAGTCTTTCATTGGGTGCGAATGGTAAAAACTGGGAAAGGAGAGCATTTTCACTCCGGTTTCTCCACACGGACGCTGGCACATCCAACAAGGCCACTTTGTAAGAAATGTTGTAAATGTAGCATAAAATTAGAGTTATATTGATGATGCAGAAGCTAGCGAGCGGGAAAGCCCGTCTGCTAATTAGAATATTAATCACCCCGTTAAAAAGCTCCAAGGTCAGTGCGAGCTGAAGGAGCTTTTCCATTTTTCATGATCCATCCGCGGGACGCTTTTCTAGAAATAAAATGTACTTTACTGAATTGCCAACTACTCCGGCTTAAACATGTGAACGAAACCAAAGCACACACACTGAAAAAAGATACAGACACAGCCAACATACCTGTCAACATCCCTCAATGAGAGAGCAAAGGTTAGCGCAGGTTTTTGGTCGTAAACCTACCACGTAAAACAGTGAGTCGTGTGGTGGCGCTCGTCTCCCCAACACTGTTGGAGGCGACACATTCGTAAATGGCTTCATCGCGCGGAGTCCGCAGCGGCTGGATTCTCAGAACGGAGCCCGATCCGTCATCGAACTCTATGACCTACAGGTGCGAGAGACAAGATATGTTACGAGAGTTTTTTTTGCTCACAGGTGACGACAGACAATCATGCTCTCACACACACTTCATCCTGACACAGAGCTCTGGACAGACAACGGACACCGCGGCACGATGTTCATTTACGCAACCTGACGCAACAGTACGAACACAGGACACAGAAACAGTCTGGTTAAGATCTGCGGCCGGGCTGCGACTTGGAAAATATCTGTAATTGCTGATATTTTGGAGTTATCATCCTGAAGCCCAGTGAAAACTCAAGAGATTTGTTCTCATTTCGTGTCTTTAACGACTGTTTCTTCTGAACATTTGTACGATATGTGACCGATGATGTCTGATATATTGGCTGATGGTTGCGACTGAATAAAGTGTGTTATTAGCATACTTCTTTTAACCTACAAACAGATAATGTCATTATTATTTAATCTTGTAGATATGCCTTTTTCATAAAGGCATTCTTTTTGTAAATCGTCAAAAACCACTGGCATACATCCTCTGGTTCTAGCTTAAGTACAGTTATGATACACTTAGAATACTTAGAGTATACTTAGGGACCAAGTAGTGTACTTAAAATATACTAGAAGTATGCTGTTATGTTTGCATACAACATATAATTATACTTGCAATATAAAAACTAAACTACCTAAAAGTGTACTTCCATAAACTAAAAAGTACACTTATAAGTTATCTTGTAGTATAGTTGAAATACATACATGAAATAACAGAAAACAACACAATGTAAACTAGTTGTGTACTACTGTTACTTTTAAAGTATGCATAAAAGTATACTTTTACTAAAAAGCTGTACAATTTAGTCCTAAGTAGTACTGAACGTGCACACAATAGACCTTCAAAAAAAGAAGTATACTTCAAGTTCATTTTGTTTTAACTTAAGTAAACTTTACGTTTTATTTTGTATTGCAAGTATACTGTGAACTATACTAAAAGTGAACTTATAGGTATACTATAGATACTTCTAGAGTTTATTTAAATAGACTTTGAAGTGTATTAGTTGAATAGTTTTTATACTGCAAGAACTTAACATCATACTTAAAGCTTATTATTTACTTTTTTTCTTCACTACGTACACTAGCAGTTTCCTATTTATTAGATTTTTAAACTTGAAATAAAGTTTAGTTTAAGTTCTGGTAATGGCTTATAATAGAAGCCAGTGTGAATCATGTCTGATACAATACTCTCACGCCTTAGAAGGAATGTCCGTAAAACCAGCCAGATGTTCATCTGTCAGGTTCGTTTCCACTTATGTATTCTTCACTTTAAGATTTTTCACCGCAAAGCTGACTCGTTATTATAAACTTGTACAATTTATGCTGAAGTTGAGTAAAATAAACCATTGTGTGTGAAGAAAATGTCAAGAAACGTACCAAAAAAATTTATACACCAGTGTAGGCCCAAGTATATTTAGAATACTAAATGATACTTTTAAGTATACTTAAGTATTAGTGCTGTCAAACGATGAATCGCATCCAAAATAAAAGTTTTTGTTTACATAATATATGTGTGTATACTGTGCATATGTATTATGTACATATTAGCCTAATACACACACATGCATGTATACATTTAAGAAAAATGTTTTGTTTATATATAAAATATAAAATAAAATATAATTATATATGAATATATAATGTATATAAGAGAGTATATAACACACGTGTGTGTGTGTGTAAATATTTTTCAAATATATACATGTATGTTTGTGTATTTATATATACATAAGAAATATACACAGTACACACACATATATTTGAATCCAGCTCAGTTTAAATAGTA